GCCTCGGGTCGGCAGTAAGTCGCGCCTTCACGCGCCCGCGGTAGCCGCTGCTCGGAAATCCTGGAGGCTCTTTTGCCGGGATTGAGGCTTAAGGCTTGCAATACGAGGCGTGTCTAGGACCATGTGCAGAGTTCTTTTCCCCTTAGATCCCGGGGCGCTCAAGAGTCCACGTCTTTGGAACTGTGCGAAGGAGGAAGCTGTAACTTTTAGGCCAGACTCTGAGCGTGTCTAGAATAGCTCTTTCCTTCATTGCCACTAAAACCGACAGATTTCAGACATGTAAATGGGATGAAACTTTCTATTCGGGAAGTGCTTCGGAGCATAAACGGAGTGGTATTTTCTCCGGGCTACACATCTGGGACTAGGAATCAGGGAGAGAGAACAGTGGCGATTTTCAACATGATCTCTGACCATGTGCAGAGTGACAGTCCCCTGAGCACCCCCATAACACGCCGAACCGAATCTAGTGGATCCAATGGTGCGTCCTGGAGAGCAGTAATGTTCAGGAGCCCAGATTTCTAAGATTAGAAACGAAACACTGCGTGGGTGGCGCCACCCGCCAAACTTCAGCCGGGAGCCGCTACGCCGGACCTCGAAGGCGCGAGGAGCCGGCGAGAGGCTTCAAGCGTTACGTGTTTCCTATTCGGAAAGTCTCCGGGCATGAGAATCGCTCTCGGGTCCTTCAGCAGGCGCTGTAGTGAAAGATGTGGTCATTGTGGGGGCGTAGCGAGCTCTTCGGCTGGTCGCGGAGGCGCGGGAAGTGAGAAGAAGAAAAGATAGTTGGGTTCGCGGAAAGGACGACGGCCCCCCTTCTCCCCACCTCCGCTCCTCTCACGGATTCTAAAAAGACCAGATAACAGCCTGTGGAAAATAGAGAAGTTCGTCTCCTCGCAATTGCATGTCATTTGATTTTTCTAAGTAGGTCAAAATGAGCTTTAAAGAAGGTTAGGATTCGGTGGCGTTTTTAAAAAGGCGCTTGTTCGGCCGCTTTTCCCTAACTTGGCGCCCTCTGATATGTATTGGCTCGCGGGGAGAGTGAAAGTCGAACACTGCACCAGACGGGAGAAGGTAACTCCGCAGGCTGTTGTCCCACAGTCGCTTAACTCCGGGGGTAAAACCCGACTTGCTGCATTTCACCTGTGAAGTCTGGGAAGAGCTTTGTCGCATGAATCCAGTTCCTTTGGTAACGGAATGATTCGCAGTATTGTGCAATCTAGAAAATGGGTTAATTCAGTACTTAGATAAAGTGGGTTGTGTGAACACCGTCACACATATTAGTTAGCCACATTTTAGCCTAGCGTGTTGTTCAGACCCAGAGCATAAAGTTAGTTTTTGGTTCAGCATGTTCTGCAAACTCGAAACATCAGTCAGTGGAATTGGCGATGTCCCCATAATAGGCTTGCCCGTGATTTAACATCAATAAACCCCCTTGGCTGGATATACGCCACACACTCAGCCCGAACAGTCAAACTACGTTTTGGGTGGGTGGGTGGGTGGGTGGTGCGAATTCAGATCCCGAATTTCCCACTCAGATTCGTTTGCAAAAAGCTGTGCTGCTGTTTTCTAATGAAACGGATACAATCTGGATCTTCTTGTTTCCATTCCCTATAAGAAAGTTTGATAGTAACTTCTGCAACTACAGTTCAGCTTTCTGTTTCATTGCGGAACAGATATTTCCAAATGTTACAAAGGAAGTTGGATTCTTCCTCCTTTGGGGAAGTAATAGGTTTATTCACCGCGGTACTCCCCTACCTTCTTTGAGCACACCCGCGAACCGCTAGGGCCCCCTGCGCCTCTAGGATGGGCTTTTCAAACAGGGTTATCCTGCGTAAGAGGTGACTCAATCGCTTTCACTTTCTCAGAACGCGAACTCAACAAATGAACTCACTTTCATTTTGCGCTCAAGCCTTGCAAGGAAGGACATGACTTGCTCCCAGGACAGGCTGAACCCCGAGCTAACCCCAAGGGTTGAGTTCGCACAACCCGCTGTGCTAACGCGATGCGGGCTAGTCGCTTGTTCAAGGTAAACGCGCCGAGAGAAGTTCAAGGGTCTATGCCAGGCCGGCCGACCGACCTGACGCGTGGCCAGCTCCGGACTCTCATTGGTGCGCGCAAAGAGAAGGGAAAGGCGATTGGACGGCTTCTCCTCGCTCCTCCTTCCAGGCTTGGCATCTGCGTTCAGCGACCGGCCGGGGCTCCTGACGGAGGTGGGGCGCGTTCGCTGCCGGCCTGCTGCGCCACCGCCGCTGCGCGAAATGGAGGACTCGGAAGACGAAGGGGAGGCCGGCGAGGTCGAGTGGCTCTTCCCGGGACCCCGCAGCGGACTCCCGAGAGATTCACCTGCCGCTGTAGAAGGGGTCTCGTGTAAAGTCCTAGGAAATCTTCTTCCGCCCTCTAAATCTTTCTTCCGAAAAAGCACGGGCGCTAAGGCGGGGTGGGGGCACGATCCGAATTGGCGATTAAAAAAAAAGAACGATTTGGAAACGCTGTCCCGTGCTCACGCATAAAGGCCGTGTTCACACGGCACACGGGACCCTAATCTAGCCCCGTTTTCATCTCGGGTGTTTTGTGACTCCAGGCCAAGTTCAGTAGGTGACGGTTCAGTGGGAGGGGGGAATTCAGAATAAATGCATGAAGACAATCTGGCGCCTCGCGTCTCCCGACTTCGGAGTCGATGTGGGTGGTGCGTCAAAGCGGGTGGAAGAGCTTCCCTGCTGCCCGAGAAAAAGATCTTCAGGAAGCTCATTCAAGGCCGGGATTGGGAAAAGGACGTGGACAGAGTTTCCTGCTTGCCCAAATGGGAAACAAACCAGGATGCTTTGCAAAAAGGATTAATCTTGGCTTGGATAGGGAGGCCATCTTTATCCCTTAAAGAACCGTTGCGCTCTGGAATTTTGCCCCTCTACTTATGGGGGACAGCAGGATCCCGGGTGTTATTCTTCCTAACTGCTTATGTGTGATTAACCCAGTGTTTCTCAACCTTGGCCACTTTAAGGTGTATGGACTTCAACTC